AATAGCACATCACAGAGCTCAATTAATTTAAAATTGTGTGTACAAATGTTAAGTCTGTTGCTATGCAAATAGCCTAGATAGAGGGAGAGAAAGGAGGGAGAGAGAGAGAGAGAGAGAGAGAGAGAGAGAGAGAGAGAGAGAGAGAGGTGAAAAAGGAGTGGGTTTGGGTATTACGTGAGACGCAGTATAAAAGTATGAGTAAGTCACTTGCTTACTTATCCTGTGCAGTTACATTTCTGAGATACCTGGTCCCCTATCCTCGATTATTTCTTGTACATAAAAGGTCATCGTGTAAGCTTACTTTCTTTTTTATTGCTTGCTTTCCTGTGGTTGTAAGTGGCTAATACCTCAATGACACAATTAAGGATCATTTCAGAGAAAAGTCATTCCAGTAAGGTTTTTTTAAAGTAGATATTTTAAGCCCCATCCACACAATTTAGATCCTTTGGGAGGCTGGCTTCGACCCTGTCTGTCAGGGTGAACCCGGGCTGAGAGGGACACAACGTTCGAGCAGAATGACCAAGATACTCGTTCAGAATTCTACCCACACAGGAATCGAATTTGGGCGTTCGTTCCGGGTGTGATGGAGAAACGCCTTATATCTACACCATGCTGGTAGCGAGTCTTTTGCATTTGTTGATAAGCTGAAACCTGAGATGACTAACTAGAAGAACGTTATGGAAACTGTGCATAGAGCTGTTTTCTGTCTGGCACGTGTACTTACTCTGATTTCCGACGTCTTGGTCTTAGTTATGGGTCTTGCTGTCGAGTCTATTGGAAAAAAAATCGTCTCTTTGAGACGAAAAATTATTACTTTGTTTTAACACCTGTGTTCTTTCGAATTATAATTTCATTTTGTTCTGACTTACGTTTTCACGACTGGTATTCAATGCTTTCATTTACAGCAAAACCGGAGTCTGTACAATCTAAGGCCGGTCCCAGAGTGGCTCTGTAGGTCTGACCTGTAGCTCGCCTGGCGCACGCCGTGTGCGTGTCAGCACAGCCGCACCGTGGGTTGGTGCCTGTATCTCAGCGAGCGCGAGGCACACTCGCTGCGTCTCAACACGGGCGCACTGCGTGTTCACGTGTGTAGGTGTGCAACTGACGGGTCTACCTTGCTATATTTAGGTACTGTGTAATCCAAGACCAATTATACCAAGACTCTTCTTTACGTCATGTGCCAAGGGCCTACGACAACAGTCGAAACTAAGTCAACCTCTCGATTCGAAGTTTCAAAGTATGATAAAGTGCATTTCTGGGTGATTTTGTGGCCAAGTGTTGATGCTAGCACCAATATTTAATAGTAAAGCACCTAATAATACTTACTTCTTGTTGATTTTTACGATCTGTGAAGAGTTTCAGTCGAAAATAAACACGAAGCGAGGCGACACATGTCCGCCATGTTTACAACACTGTTGAATAGCACGTCTGACGTATCGCGCAGCTCAGCTGACCAAAAACAGACGACACAGCGACGCTGCTTAAGCACACGAAAATGTATACATTCATTTGCACGGTGCTAGCCAGGCGAGCTACAGGTCAGACCTACAGAGCCACTCTGGGACCGGCCTAACGTTTTCGTCGTGAGCAGTGGTTAGTTTATTGATATAGCAGTGCGGCCTGTTACTTCTACATCGTTTTGTGTTGTAATCGGCTCTTAATGAAAGTTGGCTGTTACATATCAGTGATTTATTGAAAAGTACAAATTAACGACCCCAGTAACAATGACAACGACGGGAAAGAAAGCAACAAGCACAAAGGGCTGAAAAAATAGGAATGGCGAAACAGATGAGCGCGTTTGGAGACAGTTTACCAAGGGACGCTACTCATGTTTCACTGAAACCAAAGTGTGATCTGGTAATGGCTATCTCCTATATTCTACTTACCTAACACTAACAGTGACGTAATAAGATTCACCGTCGTTTCCCTCACAACAAGTAGTTACCCCAACCTCACAAAGTTCTGTCAGCTCAGTACCTAGTTTTGAGAAATTTGTCGTTATAAAAATTTGGAGTTTCACAACATATCTAGCTTTTTCGAATACAATTCTTTGAATATTTTGATAATGACTCCGATCAATAATCTTACGATTTTGATTGATCTGATAGAACCAAATTTTGGTTTCTGACCTGATGGTCTTAGTAACTCAAACCGGCTAAAACTGTCAGAGAACTTTGTAATTCTAAAGTAACGAAGTGCCTATTGATCCAATTATAGATGATAAGATCGGGTCAGGTGGTGATGGGGAATCGCGCTGTCCAGTGCACTGTGTATCAAAAGACCACTGTTTTGCTTCATCTAATTTGATGCAGAAATTCATTAGAGAAGTCCATTAGGGCCTATCATATGTGAGGCAGCGTGGTGGAATCAGGCCCTCGTCATTTTTTGGGCATATAGAGTTATTGGTATCATATTAAGACTTTTTCATTTGTCTTTATTTGGATGAAAAAAATATCCATTTATCTTGAATACAAGTCGAAATATTTGCGAAAGAAGGAGGTGGAGGTCACCTGGTTTCAGGGGTAAAATTAGTGAGAAAATGGCCGCCAAAGATGTCATTTCCTTAGAAAAATCGACACAGAAATTAGTTCTTTAATGGGCATTAAAAGTGTTGAGCCCCCCCCCCCCCCCCCCCCCAAAGAAAAAAATTAAAATTTTTATAAATTCCCAAACCTGCGTAAAATGTGATTATTTTGACGAGAGCCTGATTCCTCCACCACGCTGCCTCACATATTCCACTGATTCCGCACGCTAACAAAATCATATTATCTGACGTAATACATTTATAGCTGTATCGTTAGTTGTTTTCGTCAAACTTATGAAATCGTGACCTGGAAAGGCAAACACGTTTGATCGAACAAACTATGCTTTAAAAAAGTAGCTTTTGGTACCGCATCAAGAAAACCTGGCAACCCTCAAATGTGTCAATAAAATCTAATGTAGTATTTGAATCGTGGGGGGTTTGACAAAACTGTTACAAAAAATATGGTGAATAGGAAGAACAACCTAGATATCTAGAACTATATTTCCTCGATCGGAAGGATAACAGACAAAGCTGTAAGCGAAATAACGTCACTTCCTTTATTTCTCCTGTTCAGGACAGAGAGTCGTACTGGAGAAGTTAATCAAGATATACAGGCTTTATTTTGTACTTTACAAAAGCCAGACTAGACTAATAAGCAACCTTTATGATGTTGCTCGGGTTTATCGGAAAATGACTCTCTAACAAAATGAGGATAAATGGTTATGAATTGCGCAAATCACTTGTGGTGTGCAACTTACACAAATTTAAAGCAAATTGCCGATTCCTTCTATAGTATCCTGTGTGCAGAGTGCACATAAGCCTTGTTCACTTTGAAAACACCAAAGTGACGAAATGACGGATGGATAGACTGCACAGACGTACCGTGTGGCAGAAAATTCTACGGTAAGTGTTTCAGTTTCGCCTACACCATAACTTTCCCATTCTTTGTGGGAAGGCCTTTTTGACCGTGTGCACACGAAACTTGTAGATTCCAAGAGCATCGAACTGGCGTAGGTACCGATGAGTGTCCAAACTTACTACCAGATAGACAGCCTAGAATCTAGAATCTACATCTAGAGTCTAGATCTAGATCTAGAAACTAGATTTAGATCTAGAGTCTAGATCTAGATCTAGATTTCTAGACGTCTACAAATCTAGATCTACATCTCTAGATCTAGAAATTCTAGACTATCTAGAATCTAGATCTTCACTACTTTACTTCAACAGGAGTCTTCTGCTACCGTAGATTTGTCAACCAATAGGTCGTCTTTGGCAGATACCAACAAATCTCCACACCTCTCAGCTCTCTGCTTTCCTCAGTGTGTCCCGCAGCTCTATGGCTGTTAATTCTCGGATGTTATCCTCCCATCTCTTCTTCTGTCTGCCTCTCCTTCGTCCTCCTTGCACAATGACATGAAGAATTATTCTAAGAATAGTTTTATCAAGACATGAAGAACAGGAAAATTACCCTGCCAGTAAGTCACGTGCCTATATTTCATCAACTCTTCTAACATATAAGTCAATATCTTCGTCAAGCCGACCTACATTAACATTAGATCAGTAGTACAGCCTCTTTGTGATCTCATTTGACCTAGCTTCTCGCAGCATTAATAGTGTGTTATCGGGCAAGAATAGCCATGTTTGATTGAACACTGCCACATTCTGCCCGCTTATTTGCTTGATATAAACGGGTAAAGGTAAACTTAAGCCCTTCATAACGAACTTACTTGACCTAGTGCGCACATCCAAAATCTCCACTCACTGAGGGCTGCCATGGCAACGAACTTTTCATAATCGACAGTGTCATTAACAATTTTTAAAACACAACAACCAAAGAGCCCAAACCATATGTGAGGCAGCGTGGTGGAATCAGGCTCTCGTGAAAATAATCAAAATAAAGAAACTTGCATTTTTCTGCTGGTTTGTGAATTTTTATCAAATTTTTGTTTTTTGGCTCAACACCTTTCATGTTCAGTAAAGAACTCATTTCTGTGTGGATTTTTCGGAAAATCGTTGACTAAAGGCACAAAAAATGTAAATTTTCAGTTACAACGGACTCTTGCGCTAAGGAAATAACTAAACTTTGGCAGCCAATTTCTCACTAATTTTACCTTTGAAAACAGGTGACCCCCCACCTACTTCTTTCGCAAATATCTCGACTTGCATTCAAGATAAATGTATATTTTATTCATCCTAAAAAATACAAATGAATAAGCTTTAAGATGGTACCAATAACTCTGCATGCCAAAAAATTGACGAGAGCCTGATTCCACCACGCTGCCTCACATATTAACACTAAGGGAACAACGATAACCACAGTAATAAATAAATGCAACAACAGCAACAATAGTGTTAGAAACAACACGTAACGAAAAAGAAAAACAACAATAACAAGAACAAAACAAGAACAACAATTGCTAAAATCATAACTGAAGCAACAATCTAATCAATCCCTCTATCTTCACAGGACAGACTGTTTTCACTGCTGACCCGTCCTGCTGGTCGGATTCGAACCCTTACCGCTGACTACACTACCCTACTCGTCTCACGTATTCATTATGTTTTCAAGCAAGAAAAGTGAGCAAAATGGACTCCAAAAAACCCCTAGAAAGCAGGTTCTAGTTCGCCATCCCCTCCCCCTCCTTTTTTTCACCAAAGTATCTTTTCTATCCCTCAACAGTCACGCTTTTTAAAAACTGACGGCTGCTAGCTGCTTTAGGTTTCGGTAGGCCTCGTAACACGCTTCATCTGTCCAGCCGAAATTCATGGTTTGAATCCGAGGGGATTAGGTTTTTTTTAATGTTTTCCCCGTTTTTCCCCATTATATACACAGCAGCAACAGAAACTGTCCACTTGAAAAGAAGCCTGTATTCTGGTTATTATTCAAAATATAAAAAGAAAGTAAAGTTGTTCCTGCATCCGATCCGGACATTGGAGGGTTGCCTTAATAGTGAGACAGCTTCCTGGGCCTGCGGAAAAAAATGGTAAGGAGGCCAGTTCCTTTCCACGCCGCCTTTACTTCCCCAACTCGAAGTCAGGTACCCATAACTGCTGGGTGGGCAGGAGGGGGCGAAAAATATCCGTGTCCGAACTGAGGCTCGAACCTGGACTTTCCGCTTTGGAGACGAGCGGACTAACAGCTCCGCCACGACATATTTTTAAAAATTGACACAGACTTATTTCAAAGTATGTTAAGAAGTGTGTTACCTTTTGTTTCTTGATCATGTCTCATGTAGTGGCACAGTGTTAAGCACAAAATGGTACCCATTGATTTCAAAATTCCAAGTCAGTAGCGGACATTGTAGCTACTTGGAATGATGCAAGCTTGGCATATATTTCCGTATTGATTGAGTCAATTTTTTTTCTTCTGATTTTAATTAATTGTTATGGCAGTCCATTCCACTCTTGAATCAAGGCTTGTCCCAGTCGTTGTACAATGTTAATGTCATTTTGGGAGCTCCCTTTTAGGCCCAGTCAGTCCAAGCGTAATTATTGGAAAGATGGCAAACGTTGGTCCAAGGCTACCTTGCTCCATGTCTGAATGATGTGTTTTAAGGCCGTTGCGTCCTTCTATCGCTGATGACTCTTCCGTTTTTGTATGAAATTAATCTGCAGAGCTGATCGTTATGAGAGAGTGATCTCAAAGATACCAGAGCAGTATCTGTCTGTCTTTTTTGGCGGGTATCGATCTGTGATCTGCCTGGCCTGGGTCTGTCAGGTGTAACTCCAGTGACTTGGAACCAATCTTTCAGGATATTGATGGTAGGATGGGAGCAATGAAGCTTCCACACCACACTACGGGCGGAAAGTACAGCTTGGAGTATTCAAACTGCCCGACAGCGCTCCTTCGGGCTTAACCTTGGCATCTGGTACAGCAATCCAAGTCGTCAAAAACCAGGGGTGGGGGGGGGGGGGGGGTTGTAGTTTATTTCAACGCAAATCAAAATTTTGGTATGGTTGGAGGGCACCACTGGTAGAACCTACTTCTTTTCTTTACGTCTGTATTTCCTGTCTATCTGTCTTGTTTCTTCCCTGTACTATAGGACCGTTATTGGGTCGACGTGCTTCTCTTTGCTCATAGTTTGTACGCAGTCAAACTAACATTGGGTCTCCAGACAGTGTATGTACGTTGCAATCACGTGACTGTGCAGACGTTAGTCTCCGATGTCAGACTCTGGCCTGTGGTCGTAACGCCCCCTGGTGTCACAAAGCCAGAGATGTACGACGACCAAAAAACCACAAGTGAGTGAGAAAATTTAGGGTTTTTTTAAATAAACATAGAGGGTCGTTCTTCTTTTTTGTAATTTTCCTGTGCCCAAACCTATGTGAATAACGCCATATGTGAGGCAGCATGGTGGAATCAGGCTCTCGTCAAAATAATCAAATTGACGATACTAGCATTTTTCCGCAGGTTTGTGAATTTTTACAAAATTTCTTTTTCTTTGGATCCCCACCTTTTTTACGCCCATTAAAGAACTAATTTCTGTGTTGATTTTTCTGAAAAACGTTGATTAAAGGCACAAAAAATGTAAATTTTCAGTTACCACGGACTCTTAAGCTAAGAAAATAACTAATCTTTGGCGGCCATTTTCTCACTAATTTTACCTCTGAAACCAGGTGACCTCCACCTCCTTCTTTCGCAAATATTTTGACTTGTATATAAGATAAATGGATATTTTTAATCATCCAAATAAAGACAAATGAACAAGTTTTGATACCAATAACTCTACATGCCCAAAAAATGACGAGGGCCTGATTCCACCACGCTGCCTCACATATGGTTATTAAAACTAGGTTGGCTTAGGTTGTTAACCGATAGTCTTTTTTATTCCGTTAGTGTGGGTGTTTGACTTTTTTTTTGTTCTAGTAGGTGGGGAGGGACAAAAGGCGACCGGGGGAGGGGGGGGGAGGTGTTACTTAGTTTGTTTTGATTGGAGACTAATGGGGTATAAACATAGAAGGACTGGTCATACTGTATTTCATGAGTGTCTTGAGCAATGTTAGTTTTTATAGGAATGCAACGCTCACCGTAAACAAATAAAACCTTTAAGGATGCACACTTTGTCTAAAAGCCATATGGAAGAAAAAGGAATGAAAGAAAGAAAAAAAGAAGCCAGAGGCAACACACTGCAGTTAACCCAGAATGGCGCACATTTTTAATACAAATATTGTACTGTATAAGTACTACAGCATCCCAGTTGTGCGAACTGGACAATATCTAGTTTATAAGCATCAAAGAAGTTGTAGACTGTATAAAAATATTTTCATCTCTATTGTATCAAACTTATAACATAATTTCTCTTTCTTTCTGTTTGCCTCGCTGATCCACCCTTTTCAGTCAACATCTGTGTCTCTATTTTTTTGTAACTTTTTTTTTTTTTTTTTTTTTT